TGGCGCACCTACGATTGAGGAGATCAGTATAGCCATCAGACAAATCAAGAGCGGCAAAGCAGCAGGACCAGACAACATTCCAGCAGAGGCAATGAAAGCAGACGTGGGAGCAACTGCAAAAATACTTCACATTCTCTTCGAGAAGATTTGCGATGAGGAACAATAACCATCAGATTGGAAAGAATAATTCCTGAACAAAGTACCAAAGAAACGCGATCTCAGCAAGTGTGAGAACTAAAGATGCATCACTCTTCTCTCAATACCAGGCAAAGCCTTCAACAGGGTATTGTCAAACAGAATGAAGGACTTCGTAGACGCCCAACTTCGAGATCAACAGGTTGGATTTCGTAAGGATCGATCATGTACTGACTAAATTGCTACATTACGAATCATTGTGGAACAATCAATTGAATGGAACTCACCACTCTACATCAAGTTCATTGACTACGAGAAAGCATTCGATAGCGTGGATAGGAAAACACTGTGTAGCAGCAGCCTCTGCAGCAGTAGGTCTCAACATACATAAAGGAAAAAGCGAAATTCTCCGATGCAACACAACATGCACAAACCAAATCACTCTTCATGGAGATGCCATGGATGACGTTAACACATTAACATATCTGGGCACCAACATCGACGAGAAAGATGGATCCTATGCAGATGGGAGGGCGCGGACTGACAAAGCAAGGGCTGCATTTCCACAGTTCAAAACTATCTGGAACTCTAAACAACTTTCAACCAAGACCAAAATCACGATTTTCAATACAAATATCAAGAAAGTTCTACTGTATGGGGCGGAAACATGGAGAACTACGAAAGGCATCATCCATAAGATACAAGTATTTATTAACAAATGTCTACGTAAAATACTTCATATTCGTTAACCAGACACCATCATCAACAACGTACTTTGGGAGAGAACAAACCAGATTCCAGTGGAAGGAGGAAATCAGGAAGAAGCGGTGGAAGTAGATAGGACACACAAATACGAAAAGCACCCTAACTGCGTCACAAGACAAGCCCTCACATCGGAACCCTCAAGGTAAAATGAAAAGAGGCTGGCCAAAGAACACATTACTCCGAGAAACAGAGAAAGATATGAGAAGAATGGACAAAAATTGGACAGAACTGGAAAGGGAAGCCCAGGACAGAGTTGGTTGGAGAAAACTGGTGGGCGGCCTATGCTCCATTGGGGGTAACAGGCGTAAGTAAGTAAGTTCTCGATTAAGTAGACTGTTTCGAGGAGGAAAGGGGCTTCGCGTGTCTCACATTCACATCCTCGATACCACACCTTATCAGTCAGTCAGCAACACCGTAGAACTTCGTACGTGTCTACATAAGTTCAGGTTGACATACCACGTTGGCACAGAGACACAATTGTCAATTCAAATCCCATAGTGGTAGAGATAGTAAGAGTATTAGCGGTAATCAAAAAGATTAGGACTCAAAGATATTATTCAAGAAGTACAATTCACTGAGATAAATTTAAAAAGAGAAAGATATAGGTAGTGACGAATTCAGATTAGAATTTCAGAGAACACAAAGAGTGAATACACTTGCGCCACTACAAACAACTCTGAGATATGCCACCAAAGGTCTCTAACTATCAGTTACTATCATCTCGCGGACCCCAACCAGATAGTGTGCATCTACCAACATGACTCAGTCCACTTGTGAGATGATTGATTTGTGCCATATTTTGGTTTGGCCACCACACATTATAAAAGTAGCTTTCAATGATTAGAATGGAATAGTACAAGTAAAATTCATCATTGCAACTCTACCAAGCAATATCATTCGGTGAATTAAATTATTTTGCCACAAACAGCATTAGGCAGTTAAACTAGTCACGTAGTTGAAACATTGGATTTTTGTGAAATCGACTAAGCCAGCCAGCCAGCCAATCCCCAACCATGTGATATTTATTCAATCAGCCTTTCTAACATAATACATATCGATATCATGAACAAATCAATGTTAGATCACCATTAGAAATCTGGAAGGACTGAGTGACTATTTCTTTCTAGTAAGGGAATCATACATGATCAGTGCAAGCGGGAGTCGAACTCAGAACCTTCGGTCTTGCGCATGGACGCTTAACCTCTAGACATTTAACGGCGTTAATGTTTGATTTCGAGTAATCTTAAGGTGTTGCGCAACCTCAACTAATGTCTTCAGTGGGCACTACTTCACACCCGACAAGGTTGAATCTACTGGTCACAATTTCTCACTACAACTTGGAATTCCGCACGAAGCTAGTCAGTCACCAGTGAGTACATGATTTTTTAAGACAGAGTTATGTACATTAATAAGTTTCATTGAAATCATGAATCGATCTCCACGAACCTATGGTGAAATTAACACAAATTGACCTGATCATTTTTATTCATTCAAATGATGAGGACAGGATGAGAGAACATGCTCTGACAATAAGCATGTTCAATACAAGCTCAGTCAGTCAGTCAGTTGCAACGTACAACTTCGTACATATGAACATAAGTTCATGTTGCCATACCACATTAGCACAGAGACGCAAATGTCTAACCGAATCCAATAGTGATAAAGATAGTAGAGGTATTAATGGTAATGAAGAAGGCTAGGGTTCGAAGATATTATTCAAGAAGTATAATTCAGTGAGATAAGGTTAGAAAGACAATGGTAGAGGTGTTGACGAATCCAGAAGATTAGGATTTGAGAGAGCTCAAAGAATGGATGCACTTGCGCCATTGCAAACTATTTTTAGCCATATCGTTCAACGGCACTAACCATTGGTGACTTTCGTTTCGCGGACCCCAACCACGTAGTCTACATCTACCAACATGACTTAGTCCACTAGTCAGTGACTTCATGGTTTTCTGCCATGTTTTGGTCTGGCCGCCCCTAACTTTCTTCCAACCTACTCCCACACCACAAAACAAAGCTCATCGAGGCAGTCAGCGTTAGCCATACGTAACACATGTCCCAACAACCTAAAGTCTAATTATGATAGTTAACTAGACATAAGGAATAAATGAATCACGTAGAAGTTCCTCCTGGAAAGTTCATAGAAGCTCTTGTTTTAATTAATACAAATGTATATTATTTCACTAATTCCATATGGTAGAGTTCACTCTACCTCACCAAATACTGCTATATGACCAAGCGTACCTGGTCAATGACAGGGAAATTCTACTCACAACTACCTTAAACCACAACTAGGTGAGTAGTGGGTAACAAGGATCTACCTTCGAAAATTGTGAAACCCTGATTACAAACCAATGATATACACAAACCCTATTATCTTTAGGGAACAACTGGCATAAGAACCTATTGTTAGTCACTCACTGGCTACCATGAGAACATAATTCCTAACGCTACTCTACACTGCCTTGTGCACTTGACCTCAAAGTTTTAGGTTTACAGAGTTGTCAACTAAAAAAAAAAACCATCTGTTTCCTTTTTGAGAATTCGGACAGAGTATTCCAGCCTACTAAAAAAAATTCAACAATTTCCTTGGTGTATATATAGAAGAGATATATTTATTTAGATACCTCTTTGTACCAATCTTTTTATATACTTAAAATACATTTTATTTTATTTTAAGAAAACAATAACTCATCTTAATGTGTTACAACTATGATTGTTATAATAAATATTAAGACAGGAAGAAATAGAGAAGAGAAAATCAGTGTAGAACACGTTTTTTTCGTTTATCTCCCCATAAGCTTAAAATAATCGATTTTATTAGTCTAAAAATTAACAACAGTCTACATGACAAGAAAGAATATTGACCATTATTGAGAGAGAGAGAGAGAGTGTGTGTGTGTAATCAGTAGGAAACAATAATCTACTCTAGCCAATTCAGTAAATAAAAGATGATTGAGATATTAGGCCAAGTTGTTCTCAATGAAGACTAAGTGTGAGATAAACAGTGGACTGTAAAAACTTAAATAAGTAGACTGGCGGGTTCGGACCATTGATCGATTTGCTGGAGATTGAATGTTTCAACCGTTTAACAATCGATCAATAATTTCTCTCAATTACAGTAGTAAATCAAACTTTTACAAAGAAGAACAACTCATACTACAATTAGCAATGATTCTATGTGTAAGTAAAACATCTTGATCAAGTTGCTCGGTGTAGGATCCATAACTTCATAGATTGAATTACATTTTTATTCCAACGCAGTAAACACAGTCAGTCAGTCAGTCAACAACAACAACATAGAACTTCGTATGTACGTACATCAGTTCAGGTTGTCATATCACATTAGCACTGAGATGCAAATGTCACTTCAAATCCCATAGTAGTACAGGTAGTAGGAGTATCAGTAGTAATCGGAGAGTTTAGGATTAGAAGATATTATTCAAGAAGTGAGATCTAGTGAAATATACTTGAAAAGTAAAGGTGATGCGGAACTCTGAAGGTTAGGATAGGAGAAAACACAATGAGCGGATGAACCTGCGCCATTGCAAACGATTTTGAGCCATGTCGTTATTTAAGGTCTCTAACCCTTAGTGACTTTCGTCTCGCGGACCTCAACCAGGTAGCCTACATATACTTACATGACTCAGTTCACTTGTCAGTGACTTCCTGCATTTCTGCCATATTTTGGTTATGCCGCCACTAACCTTCTTCCGACCTATTCCTATATCACAAAACATAGCTCGTCCAGGCAGTCGGTGGTTAGGCATACGTAACACATATCCCAAGCACACCAACTTTTGAAGTTTCAGTACTTCATCTGTTGATCTGTCATCCTTACCTAGAACCCGTTTCCTAACGACAGCGTTGCTCACTCGGCTGTCCCGCGATATACGAGCAATACTTCGAAGACACCTATAATCGAAAACCAGTATAACCTACAAATATCTTCTACTCTGACTGGGCATTGTTTCACAACCATAAAGTAGGACAAAGCGAACTGCTACGCCATAGTACACTCAACGCTTTGATTAACAAAACAATGATTTATACACACATAAGACTAGAATAATAACTATCAAACAACAGTAACTCACCATTTCAGTTAATCGTTGTTCTAATTCACATGCATACGTTTTTGATTGACCCATTTCTTCATGTAAACGAATTAATTCATTGGAAAGACCTCGACGATCAGCAGCTGCTGCTGCCGCTGCGGCTTCTGCTGCTGATGCTGATGCTGCAGATGCTGCATCAACTGTTAAACTAGGCAATAATTCCGGTGAGAATAATTCATCAGGACTAGGTGTCGCAGGTGTGGTTGTTGTTATTGGATAAGATAGTTCTTCTGTTTGAGTAGTCACATCAGTAGTCTGTCAACGGTGACAACGACAATGACAATAAAAAAACATGAGTAATAGATGATATCATGCAGAATTTCATCATTCAATTAAGTAAGCGTGTATAAAACAACAACAACCGAAAAAATGCTCTACCTACCTACCTACCTCAGTTAATGTTACTGCTACTACTTGATTGTTGATAATTTTTTCTAGTTCACATAAACGTTTAGTTTTTTCTTCAAGCAATTGTCTAGCTGAACCAAGTTCTTCATCGAATTGTGACTTGAATGAAGAAAAATTTAAAAAAAAAAATTCAAATAGTATAAATAAATCTTTGAAATAGATAATAATAATAATAATAATAAATGCCATTGACTCGACATCTATTCGAAACAGTTCATATGTAAATATTCATTAGTTGAGATGGTTGGGACATGTGTTCTTACGTATGCCTAACCACTGACTACTTCGACGAGCTATGTACTGTGGTGTAGGAGTAGGTTGGAAGAAAGCTAGGGGCAGCTCAACCAAAACATGGCAGAAATCCATGAAGTCATTGACGAGGAAACTGAGTCATGTCGGTAGATGTGGACTACGTGGTTGGGCTCCGCGAGACGATAGTAACCGATGGTTAGAGACCTTTAACGATATGGCTCAAAATCGCTTGCAATGGCGCAGGCGCATCCACTCTATGTGCTCTCTCAAATCTTAATCTTCTGGATTGGTCATCACCTCTACCCTAGACTTTCTAACCTTATCTCACTGAATTATACTTCTTGAATAATACATTCAAACCCTAGTATTCTTCATTACTATTAATACCTCTACTATCTTTATCACTATGGGATTTGATTTGACATTTGCGTCTGTGTGCTAATGTGGTGCTATGGCAACATCAACTTATGTACAACGTACGAAGTTCTTACGTTGCAACTGACTGATTCATTTGTTCGATCACAGATGCAACCATCCTTTGTGTTCTCACAAATTCGAATCTCTTCACGTCTTCATGACCTTTCTTATTTGGATATATAGTCTCTTTCCATAACTGTTAATACTGCTACAACCTCTACAACACTATGTGGTTTGAATGAATAACAATTTCATCTTATCTGTGCTGATATAATACGGTTAATTTGAACTGATCTATGTACGTACGAAGTTCTACGTTACTGAGAGTATTAAGCCCAGATAACTACAATTTCCAGTCAACCTAAATGGTAACTTAATGTAAGTCCTTTCCCCTCAGTCTATCTAGAGGGAAGAAGGGCAGCAGGTGCTGACCGAGATTTTTAAGGATGCTGGTCTAGCTTTAAGGTCTTGACTAGAATCTGGTATTTCGATATGATACTATCTGACTCGTTTCAATCACTGATTGTTCAGGTCTATAAGAAAGGACAAAAGTCCTCTTGTGACAATCACAGAGGGATCAGCTTAACCCATATTATGCCTAAGATATTAGCTTCAATGGTACTTCGAAACCAAACTACAACTCAAGAAAACTAGGCTGGTTTCAGACCTGGACGTGGATGTATAGATAGAATATTCACACTCTGACAAGTACTGGAACATAGGACACACATTTCGGCGTCCCACAACAGTTGAATTCCTTGACCTTAAGGCGACGGGATACGATTCTCCCGGTCGAAATGCAAAGTGTTGCTACAGGATCGGTTGCATCAGGACATAGATTAGTGATCGCCTGGTGTGTGACAAAATCTCGGCACGGATACAGAAGGCTCGATTGGCTTTTGCCAACTTGCATCACTTATGGTGTAGGTGAGATATCGGTCTACCAAACAAAGGACGAGTTAATTGTGCAGCAGTTCACTCTGTCTTAATTTATAGCTGTCAAACATGGCCGGTAATAGTAGATGATATGAGTAGGTTACTAGTATTCGATCATAGGTGACTCCGAAGCATTGCTCGTATATCTCGGGAGCACCAAGTAAGCAATACTAGTGTTGGGAAAAAGCATACTCCGTAATGATGTCAAATCAATTGATGAAGTATTGAAACTTCATCAGATGAGAAGGTTGGGACATGTGTTACGAATACCCAACCACCGACTAACCCAATGTGCTTTGTTTTGTGGTGAAGGGGTACACTGGATAAAAGCTGGGGGCGGCCAGTTCGGAACAGGGCACATATCTATCTAGTCATTGATAAATGGACTAAGTTATGTTAGTAGGTGTAGACTAGCTGGTCGGCGTCTGCGAGATGATAGTAACCGACGGTTAGAGACCCTGAATGACATGGCTCAAAATCATTTTTAATGGCTCAGACGCATCTATCCTCTGTGTTCCCTCAAATTCTAATCTTCTGAATCCCTTGTCACCACTATCTCCCTATTTTTAAGTTTCACTAATATAAACTCTTTGAATAATATCTTCGAACCCTAATCTGTCCTACCACTACAGAATTTCTATTGACAATTGTATCTGTATGTTAATATGGTTTAACAACATGAATCAAAATGTACGTTCGTACGTACCGAGTTCTATGTTGTAGCTGGTTGTGCAGAACTATTCTTGTATATCATCAAGAAACTATCCTCAAAACGTATCGACACAAAAAAATCAGTCTGTGAAGATCTAGAGAGAGAGAGAGAGAGATAGACACACACACACACAGAGACCGACACACATGAACCAAAACACACACACACACACACAACAGATCACAAATTCTGTGAAATGCAGCTTACTTGTAATTTTGATATAAATAAACGAGCAGATTTCAAATCAGCTTCTAATACAGTGCCTAAATTTTCACCAGGTTTTAAAATTGACAAATCTTGACATGAATTATTCAACGTGGATTGTTGATTAACTTTAGACGAGATGACGACGGCGGCGGCGGCGGCGGTGGATGAGAGGGGGGGGAAGAGGGAAAGAAACGCAAACAACAACAACAGCAACAATAACAACAACAACATGGTTTAAATAAACTATCAAATTGAATAAGTATCACGATGAATATGATGAATAATATTTTACAAAAATTAAAACAAACAAATGAACTTTATCAGTTGAGGTGGTTGGGACATGTGTTGCGTATGACTAACCACTGACTGTCTCGTCGAGCTTTGTCTTGTAGTGTAGGAGTGGGTTGGAACAAATCTAGGGGCGGCCAGACCTAAACATGGCACAAATCCATGAAGTCACTGATAAGTGGACTGAATCATGTTGGTAGGCGTTGACTACCTGGTTGGGGTCCACGAGACGATAGTCACCCGTGGTTAGAGACTTCGAACGAGATGGCTCAAAATCGTTTGCAATGACGCAAGTGCATCTACTCTTTGTGCTCTCTCAAACCCTAATCTTCTGGATTCGTCAGCACTTTCTCTACCTTTGTCTTTCTAACCTTATCTCACTGAATTATACTTCTTGAATAATATCGTCGAACCCTAATCTTCTCCATTACTGTTAATACTTCTACTACTTGTACGACTATGGGATATGAATTGACAATAGCGTCTCTGTGCTCCTGATGTGATATGGCAACCTGAACTTATGTACATACGTACGAAGTCCTACGTTGCAACTGACTTACTGAATGACTGACTGATTACGTGGTCATAACAACTTCATCAACCGGTTCACAATCCAGTATAAAATTTCAAAATAGATCTGCTCAATCAAGTTTGGTAAGGCTATGGAATTACAAACTAAACGTGATGAGTTAAACAACCAAGATTAACAGAAAATGAATGTCCTAGATTTACAAGATCCAACTGTAATCAACTAGCAGAGATGGTAAGTCAGTCATGGTCAGCGTAGAATCTGGCAGGATTTGTACTGGTTCAATTTTTTTTTAAAAAAAAACCATATACAGAGTACTATTTACATGATAAAATACTAGTAGTAATTTCAAAAATTCAGCAAAACTATATGTTTCAAGCATAAAGTAGTGTAATTGAATTTTCTCCATGATGAAAGTGTATAATCTCCCAAGGTAAAAGTATGGTGCGAGCTACTTATAAGTAGTATATGACATGAGTGTCAACGTAATGTCTGGCAGCAGAAGAAGATGGGGGAAGATCAAGAAAGTAAGAAGAGCGGGAACACAATCGAATTTGTATGAAATAGTAGTGACAATGGATTGATGTGGTTTGCATCAGGATCAGTCCAGTTCGATATGATGGACTGATATTTTGCAAATTAACGATTTACAACATGGTTTTCCTATTTTACTGAGTAACTCCGTAGTTTTCGTTAAATACAATTCGGTTGCCCCACCTGTGTTCTCGTTCAGTACAATAGTAGAGAAAACGAAGGTTTTCAGGGCATTCTTGACTGTTTGATTTATTTCCTCATTTGTCTATATACATATTGAACATTCCATTGGTTTTGATTGGTTGAAACATTCAAAAAATAACACATGAAATTCAACACAGATTATTTTTGTCATAGACTAATTTTGTAACAAAATAGAAATTCGGTGGGTGTATGTATGCGTGTGCGTGTGTATATAGATATTCCCTCCTTGCTAGGGTATATAAAGCTTACTATTCATTCCTTCATTAAATCTGTATACGACCTCATAAACAACTTCATCTAATGGTGTTGTGTGGAGATTTGGGGACAGTATTTGGGGTTGTGCTGGAATATCTGAATTTTGATCAATCGGTAAAATTTCGAATAGCTACACAGCAACATTAAAACAGGTCAGTCAGTCAGTCAGATACAGCAACGTAGAACTTCGTACGTAAGTACATCAGTTCATGTCGCCATACCACATCAGCACAGAGATATAATTGTCAATTCAAATCCAATAGTAGAAGAGGTAGTAAAGGTATTAGAAGTAATCGGAAAGGTTAGGATTAGAAGATATTATTCAAGAAGTATGATTCAATGAGAAAAGTTTAGAAAGTCAAAACTAGAGGTGTTGAAGAATCCAGAAGGTTAGCATTTGAGAGAACACAAAGAATAAATGCACCGGCGCCATTGCGAACGATTCCGAAACATGTCATTCAAGGTCCATAACCACCGATTATTATCATCTCGTGGACCCCAACCAGGTAGTCGACAATTACCGACATGGCTAAGTCCACTCGTCAATGACTTTATGGATTTCTGCCATGTTTTGGTTTGGCCGCCCCTAACTTTCTTCCAACCTATTCCTACACTACAAAACAAAGCTCGACGAGGCAGTCGGTGGTTGGGCATACGCAGCACATGTCCCAACCACCTCAACTGATGAAGTTTCACCACTTCATCTATTGATCTGCCATTCATACCTAGCACCCGATTCCTAATAACAGCGCTCCTCACTCGGATGTCCCACGATATACGAGCAATGCTTCGAAGACACCTATGATCGAAAACCAGTAACCTACGAATATCTTCTACTCTCACTGGCATATAAATATATATATATATATACATATATATATATATATTATCTGATCGACAGAAGCATTAATTTCATTTAAACACAAAACATTGGTGTGAACGAGTACCAGATAAACATATACGCCACACGAGTTTTATTGCACTGGGCTAGAATACTTCCCGGCTGCTCGAACTGAAGCAGGTGATTTTCATCCAACGGGAAGGTGGGTGGTTCATTTCACTCCACAAACCTTTCACCTAAACGTCTAATCCACAAGGCAGTAAAGCAATGCCAGGATATATAGTACCATGATAGCCGATAAGTATTAATAATAGCTTTTCACATCATTTTTCCCTTGAATTGATGCTCATCAGAGTTTTCTAACTCACTTAGACGGATCCGCTTGTACACACTGAACATTACAAATATTTAACTTCTACTAATTGCATTACAACTGACAGTATCATCAACTTTCATGGTTTTTTTCCTTTCTGTGCATAGTTTATGCAGATGAAACTGTAGACTCATGACAATAACAAAATTTCATAACTGAGATATTTGAATTGGGCTGGCGGCTAATTAGGTTGGTTGTTATTTGAATGAATGTTAAAAACACTGAGGACTAGTATTTAGGATGTTAAACTCTGATGCATTTAGTTAAGTCTTATAATCTGTTATGGTTTACAATCAAAATAGATTTTGAAGTTACACTACAATCTAAAAATAATTTTCACATACATAATAACGACCTTCAACTGTAATCTCCTTTTTTTTATTTTTAGAAATAGAAAAACATTTCACTAATAGTTTCCAGATATCAATTTTAACTAAGGAAGATTTGGAAGAAAAAAGAATTTCCCTTATCTCCTAATACAATACAAATTGTGATAGGGAGTGAAGTAGTAGAGCGTGTAAACCGCTTCACTTATATGGGGAGTCTAATCAGTGCTGATGGTCTGGTGACTGACGAAATCTGAGCACGGATACAGAAGGCTCGATTTGTTATTGCAACCCTGCGTCACTTAATGCACAGGCGAGATATCCGCTTGTTAACCAAAGGACAAGTGTACTGCGCAGCAGTTCGCTCTGTCCTACTATACGGATGTGAAATATGGCCGTTAAGAGTAGAGGACTTTCGTAGGTTGCTAGTCTTCGATCATCGATATCTCCGAAGCATTGCTTGTGTATCCTAGGAGGACCGAGTAAGCAATGCTCTTGTTAGGAAATGAGTACTAGGTAAGGATGGCAACTCAATAGATGAAGTGGTGAAACTTCATCAGTTGAGGCGGTTGAAAAATGTATTGCGTATGCCTAACCACTGACTGCCTCGTCGAGCTATGTTTTGTGATATAGGAATAGGTTGGAAGAAAGGTAGGGGAGGTCAAACCAAAATATGGCAAAAAAACCATGAAGTTAGTGACAAGTGTACTGTGTCATGTCGGTAGATTTAGGCTATCTGGTTGGGGTCCGCGAGACGAAAGTCACCAATGGTTAGAGACCTTGAACGATATGGCTCAGAATCGTCTGCAATGGCGCAGGTGCATCCACTCTTTGTGTGCTTTTTAATTCTAACCTTATGAATTCCTCATCATCTCTATCTTTCTCCTACTCAATTTATCTCAGTGAATCATACTTCTCAAATCATATCTTCAAACCCTAATCTTCTCCATTACTGCTAATACTCCTATTATCTTTACTACTATGGGATATGAACTGATAGTTACGTCTCTGTGCTGATACGGTATGGCAACCTGAACTTATGTAATCATGTACAAGTTCCACGTTGTAACTGACTGACTGACTGACAGAAGTGATGATCACTGAATACAAAAGTCGCAGCCAAACAATCAAACATCGTCAACAGCAACGTAGAACTATGCACGAAAGTACATCAGTTCAAGTTGCCGCACCACATTAGCACAGAAACACAATTGTCAATTCAAATCCCATAGTAGTAAAGGTGATGAAAGTATTCGAAGCAATCGGAGTGATCACGGTTAGAAGTATAATTCAATGAAGTAAATTTAGAAAGAGAGAAAAATAGAGCTGATGAAGAATTCAGAATATTAGAATTTCATTGAACACAAAGAGTAAATGCACCTGCGTCATTGCAAACGGTCTTGAGTCATATCATTCAGCGTCTCTAAACCATCAATTACTAACATCTCACGGACTCCAACCAGATAGCCTACATCTCTACCAACATAACTTAGTCCACCACCATCACAAGGAAAAATGCAGACAGACAGACAGATACAACGCAGAACAACTTCGTACATAAGTACATCAGTTCATGTTGCCATACTACACACATCAACACAGAGACGTAACTGTCAGTTCAAATCTATCCAAGAGTGATAGCGATAGTAAAATGCATTAAGAATTAGATAATCAAGTACAACTTAGACACACGCACGCACACAAACCAGATTCCAGTGGAGGAGGAAATCAGGAAGAAGCGGTGGAAGTGGATAGGACACACAATACGAAAAGCATCTAAATGCGTCACAAGACAAGCCCTCACATGGAACCCCCAAGGCAAAAGGAAAAGAAGAAGACCAAGGAACACATTACGCCGAGAAATAGAGAAAGATATGAAAGGAATGAACAAACATTGGACAGAACTGGAGAGGGAAGCCCAGGACAGAGTTGGTTTGAGAAAACTGGTGGGCGACCTATGCTCCATTGGGGGTAACAGGCGAAAGTATGTAAGTAAGTAAGTAAGTAAATCATTAGAGTACACACAGAATGTGAATAAAACAGTGTATAAATAATCAATAAATCTAAGAAGAAAAATAATAAGATCAACTAACCAACTTTAGTTTCTTCTCCTTCTTCTTCACCTTCACCATATTCAATGTCATCAAGATGATGATTATTATTGTTACACTTAGTAGTAGTATTAGAATTAGCATTGAATTGTTGCATAACAGATTGTTGTAATTTTAATTGTTTGGACATTTCATGCTGTTGCCTGATATCTTTCTCGATTAATTCACGTTCACGTAGTTGTTGAAATAACTGTGTTTTTTAGAGAAAAAAAATGTCATAAGATGAAGAAAAAAAAATTAAATTTCAGAAAGAGAGAACTTCAACGGTGTGACAGCATTCACATTGATGAGGAGTATCAATTAACAAGAAACCTACGTCAGACACACTACATCATCATCGTAGAACTTCGTACGTAGGCACATACATCAGTTAAAGCTGACATACCACATTAGCACAGTGATGCAATTGTTAATTCATATCCCATAGTAGTAGAAGTATTAACAGTAATCGGAGAGATTAGGGTTTCAAGAAATATAATTCAGTGAGGTGAATTTAGAAAGAGAAAAAGATGGAGATGATGAGGAATTCAGAAGATTAGGAATTGAGTGAACACAATGAATGAATGCACCTGCGTCATTCCAAACGGTTTTGAGCCATGTCATTCAGGGTCTCTAAACCATCGATTACTAACATCTCGCGGGGCCCAACCAGATTACATGTAAACATTGGATTAACCGTATGTGTGCAATCTAGCAATAGCAACGTAGAACTTCTTACATGCGTACATTAGTTCAGGTCGCGATACCGCATTTGCACAGAGACGCAACTGTCAGCTCAAATCCCATAAGGGTGGAGATAGTAGAGGAATTAGCGGTGATATAGAATATTAAGGATCGAAGTTATTCAAGACGTCCAGTTCAGTGATATAACTTCAGAAAGAGAAAGATGTGGAGAGGGATTCTGAAGATTAGAATTAGAGAGAACACAAAGAGTGGATGCATCTGCGGCATTGCGAACGATTTTGAGCCATGTCATTCAAGGTCTCTAACCATCGATTATTATCATCTCGCGGACCCCAACCAGGTAGTCGACAAATACCGACATGGCTAAGTTCACTTTTCAATGACTTCATAGATTTCTGCCATGTTTTGGTTTTGCCGCCCCTAACTTTCTTCCAACCTATTCCTACACTACAAAACAAAGCTCGACGAGGCAGTCGGTGGTTGGGCATACCATACCATACCATATTAGCAAACAGAGATGGAACTGTTCATTCAAACCCCACAGTAACAGAGGTAGTAAAAGTTTTAGAAGCGATAGACAAGGTTAGAGTTCGAAAATATTATTTATTCAAGAAGTATAATTCAATGAAATAAATTTAAAAACAGAAAGACCAAAGTGATGATGAATTCAAAAGATCAGAATTTGAGAGAAGAAAAATACCCGTTGAATTCGGTCACACTAATCGAGTACAGGGCTACTAACTTTATTAAGAGGTTTGTAGAGATTTCTTGAACTTTTTATGTTCAAAAAATATTTACAGCCTTCGATTAAGTCACTATAAACAGAACTGTACAACTTGAGTAAATGATATCGTTGGTTATTCTCTTATTTAATGATATAATCGAACTATAGTGGTGCGCGCTACTTATAAGTAGTATATGACGCGAGTGTAAACGTAATAATGTCTGGCAGCAGAAGTTTGGGGGAAGATCAAGAAAGTAAGAAAGTGGGAACACAATGGAATTTGTATGAAATGCATGAATAGTGAGTGAAATGTCAGACAATGGATTGATGATGGATTGAAGATTTGCAAATTAACAACGGTTTACGATATATGGTTTTCCCTATTTTACTGAGTAACTCAGTAATTTCCGTTAAATACATAATTCAGTTGCCCTCACCTCTGTGTTCTCGTTCACTACACTATGACTTTTTTAATGATTTAAAAACCAAACGCAAAAAAAATTATTCGTTGAAATATGCATCTATCTTACTTGTGCTTCAACATCACGTAATTTTGACTTGAGTTCTTCAATTTCACTACATTTTATACGTCTTTCTTTAAATTCTCTTAATTGTGAAAGTTGTTGTTCTACCTATCATTAAGAGTAAAAATTTACCAAAAAAAAAGAATCAAAACAATCTCATGGCTATTTTTTTCTTAATGTGAATATCAGACAAGAAAAAAAAACTAAACGATAGTTTTATATATAAAAAGAAAGAGAGAACGTCAACTATGATAACTTTTATTTTCAATCCATGAAGTCATTGACGAGTGGACTGAGCCATGTTGGTAATTGTCGAATACACCTGGTTGGGGTCCGCGAGATGATAATAATCGATGGTTAGATACCCTGAATGACATGGCTCAAAATCGTTCGCAATGGCGCCGGTGCATTTATTCTTTGTGTTCTCTCAAATCCTAATCTTCCAGATTCTTCAACCCCTCTAGTTTTGACTCTCTCAACTTTTCTCACTGAATCATACTGCTTGAATAATATCTTCTAATCCTAACCTCTCCGATAACCTCTGATACCTTTACTACCTCTTCTACTATTGGATTTGAATTGACAATTACATCTGTGTGCTGATGTGATACGGCAACATGAACTGATGTACTTACGTACGAAGTTCTACGTTGCATCTGATTGACTGACTGACTGACAATTCATGTTGTCATGCATCAGATGATGTTAAGAAGTAATTTTAGGAGAGAAAAAAGTTAATCTGAAATCATCAATCAATCAATCATTGTTAGACCAGTATTAGAAGAAACCTGGAAGCACTGAAAGACGGCAGTTTCGTCCTAGTGCATGGGACTACTACTTATCAGTGGCAGTGCGCATCTACGACTACTACTGCATCTCGCAGGATTCTAACACGGGACTTTCGGTATTGTGCGCCAAGGGCTTAGCATTGGTGGTAGTCCAACAGAATTGCTTACTCAGTTGTCCCATGATACACGAGTAATGCTTCTAAGACACCTAGGATCGAATACTAACTAATAGCCTACAAATGTCTTCTACTCTTACCAGTCATGTTTCGCATCCGTATAGTAGGAAGGAGTGAACTACTGCACAGTACACTCGAACTTTGGGCAGCAAACGGATATCTCGCCTACGCCATAAGTGACGCAACTTGGCAACAGCCAATCGAGCTTTCTGTATCCTTGTCGAGATTTCGTCACACACTAGGCTATCAGTGGTGAAGAGACACTCCCTAGATAAGTGAAGCGGTCTACACGTTCGACTACTTCACTCCCTATCACTAGTTCAGGTGCCGATGTCATATGCAACGTAGAACTTCGTACGTAAGTACATCAGTTCATGTCGCCATACCACATCAGCACACAGATGTAATTGTCAATTCAAATTCAATATAGTAGTAGAGGTAGTAAAGGTATTAGAAGTAATCGGAGAGGTTAGGATTAGAAGATATTATTCAAGAAGTATGATTCAGTGGGAAAAGTTAACAGAGTTGAAGAATCCAGAAGATTAGGATTTGAGAGAACATAAAAAATAAATACACCGGCGCCATCGCGAACGATTTTGAGCCATGTCATTCAAGGTCTCTAACCATCGATTATTATCATCTCGCGGACCCCAACCAGGTAGTCGACAACTGCCGACATGACTCAGTCCACTTGTCAATGACTTCATGGATTGCTGCTATGTTTTGGTTTGGCCGCCCCTAACTATCTTCCAACCTACTCCTACACTACAAAACAAAGCTCTTCGAGGCAGTCGGTGGTTAGGCATACACAGCACATTTCCCAGCCACCTCAACTGATCAAGTTTCGTTACTTCATCTATTGATCTGCCATTCTTACTTAGCCGCCCTTTTTACTAATAACAGCGTTGCTCACTCGGGTGTCCCAGGATATACGAGAAATCCTTCGAAGACACTTATGATCGTAAACCAGTAACCTACGAATATCTTCTACTCTCATTCGCCATGTTTCACAGCCATAAAGTAAGACGGAGCCGATGCAACCCAATCTTGGAGCAATATTTTGCATTTCGATGGTGGGAACCGCATCCTGAACATGCTTGTATTGTTGCTTACGGGCGGTCAGAAGACTCTGCATTTTGTCAGCGTCTTCACCAAATAGAACTATGTCATCGGCATATTCATACTCCTCCTGTTAAGAAGTGAGATACACCAAATTTATTGATATCGACAAACAGATTTCAGTATTGAGGATCAATAATAAGCTACAATATATCAAATAGAATCTACTTACTTTTAATCGAAGATCTTCACATTCTTGTTGTAGATCAATTTTTTCCAATTCCAACTTTCGTGTATGAGCCATTAAATCTTGAAAGCCCATAACACGTAGTTTCAAACTGATAAAGTTATGAAAATAAATTATTAATTGAAAATTTAATCTCAACTAATATTTTATTTATATATTTATAACACGAAAGTAAATAAGTAACAAAGCTGCTTCTGAAACATTGACGACAGCATAATCAGAGATGAGTTGTGAGACTGCAGCACAACCATGCCTAACCCTAGATTTGGGTTGTAGATAGTTATAAGTACGTAACTATCATTCAACAGAAATAGAGTAGCGTCCAATAAATAGAAGCTAGTTCTGATATTGTTGGTCTGTAGTAGGTGACGGTGCCCATTTCTGAACAGAAGATCGATTAAAGGAACCACGATACACACTGTTGTACTTCACAACAAATAACCGTTAGAGCAAAAACTTACTTCTTAATTTCTTCTTCTCTTAAAGCCAATTCATTACGACAATGGGCTAATTCATCGCCTTGATCATGAAGGGCTGTTAGTTCACGAGATAAACGAAGTGAGCGTGATTCTGATTCAGTTGCTCGAATAACAGCTTCTTCAAGTTGTTTTCGTAATCCAGAAACTAAACTCTCTGCTTCATCCCGACAAACTCGTTCCTTTTCAAGTTCCACTGCTAAACGACGCTTTTCACGTTCTGATTCACGAAATTGTGTCTGTAAAAATGAATCAATTAATATAAAATTGAAACTTCAACTAAAAAGTAAGTGTATGGTGTTGTAAAAATCACACATTATCGACTAACTCTTCCCACATTCATTTATCACAGTGCAAAGCTAATGCAGACGACACGAGTTCGCGAAACGTCGTTCCTGGTCTCCTTAAACCCCGCTCTAGACTACATGTTGGACCGTTTAATGTACGGACATTGTGTCAAATAGGGCAACAGGCATCATTAGCTAGGACTTTAGAATCTCGTGCCATCGATGTATGCTGCGTCTCGGAAACGCGCATACGGGATCCTAGTAAAATTATTAATCTGATTTCACCTTGTCAAAATAAGGAAGCAGCTCGATTTACTCTTCGTGTATCCGGTAGCCCTGATGCTGCTTCCAGGGGTCTTGCTGGCGTAGGCATAGCATTGAGTCGTAGGGCAGAACTATCTCTCCTTGACTAGATCCCAGTAGATAGTCGATTGTGCGCTGTCCGACTGGACGGGACAGTAAGGACTCGGAAGGATAGGGACACCCGCCGTTGCCTCTTCGTCGTATCTGCCTATGCCCCCACTGACTGCAGTTCAGACGAGGTGAAAGATGAGTTTTACAGAAAGCTTTCGGACCTCCTTCAAAATGTTAGGCGCTCTGATATAGTAATAATGGCTGGTGACTTTAATGCTCAAGTAGGTAGACTAAGTGAAAATGAAAGACATCTAGGTGGATGTTATGGTGTCGCGGCTCAGAGAACAGACAATGGCGACCGTCTGTTGCAAGTATGCTCAGACAACCGCCTATTCTTAGCAAACACTAACTTTAGGCATAAGGAAAAGCATCTGTTGACATGGTGACCTCCAAAGTCGTCTCAACGTTGGACCCAACTAGATCACATCGCCATCAGCCACCGATGGAGGGGTTCGATAGAAGACTGTCGCTCGTTCTGGGGCACATGTTTGAATTCAGATCACGCCCTAGTGCGAGCGCGTATTTGTTTGAAGCTTACTGGGCGTAGGAAAGACGCCGTAAGAAAGCCTCTTAGGGTTTTACTTAATGATAATAAGGCGAAGAATATATTTCAGGAACAACTAGAAAGACAGTTAGGCGACCATTTAAGCGATTCCCATCCGGAAGCAGGGTGGAACGATATCAAAAAGGCTGTGGAAACAGCAGTGATATCTTCTAGTAAGTGCATTTTAATGTACTTAGTACTGAGTTACAACTGAGTGAGAAGGCCTTCGATACCTGGACGACGGAATTGGAGTTTATACAGGTTTAAACTTTGCTCGTATATCCCGAGTAAGCAACGCTGTTATTAGGAAGCAGGTGCTAGGTAAGAATGGCAGATCAATAGATGAAGTGGTGAAACTTCATCAGTTGAGGTGGTTGGGACATGTGCTGCGTATGCCTAACCACCGACTGCCTCGACGAGCTTTGTTTTGTAGTGTAGGAGAAGGTTGGAAGAAAGCCAGGAGCGGCCAAACCGAAACATGGCAGAAATCCATGAAATCATTGACAAGTGGACTTAGCCATGTCTGTAATTGTCGATTACCTGGTTGGGGTCCGAGAGACGATAATAATCGAT